GCCAATCAGCTTCTTCGGTAAACAAGTCACGGAGCTTTGCAAGATAGCAACGGGTTGAAGGCCTCCCTAATAACTTTTGTCCTTTTAGATACATTTATCGTCTCGTCATGCTTGCCAAGAGGAAGGTAACGGAAGAAGGGGACGCAACGGCGAAGAAGCGAAAGCACAAAGCCATAACCATGCTTGAAAAGGTGGAATTATTGCAGAAGTTAGAGAGCGGGACCCCAGTCAGGACTCTGTGCGAGTTATATGGCATCAGCTCCTCCACTGTGTACGACCTGAAGAAGCAGAAGGAGCAGATCTTCAGCTACTTCTCCGACAGCATCAGCCAGAAGAGCCTGGAGAAGCGGAAGAGCCTTAGGAAGGGCAAGAGCACGGAGCTGGACTCGACGCTCCTGCAGTGGTTCAGGCAGAGGCGGGGCGAAGGCGTGAGCATTTCGGGGGAGATGCTGATCGCACGGGCCAAGGCGCTGCACAGGGAGCTCAATCTGGACTATCACTGCGAGTATTCCCAAGGCTGGCTGCACAGATTTAAAGACAGGTATGGGTTTTCACTGCATAGCGGGTCTGGGGAGGTCGTGCCTGACGGAATGGAAGCTTCTGCTGTGGAGGACCCAAGTGCGGCGGATGAGGATGAAAAGATGTTACCTGGACGAATTGGCAATACGGAGGGAATTCCTGGCCAAGACGATGGAGCGTTCGTAGGAGGAGGTAAGGAGTCAAAGGAAAAAGTTCCAAAACCAGGGTATCATGTGAATCCACACCTGACCTTTCCTACTTTCTACTTATTCCCTAGACAGGGGGTGAGGCCTCTCCCCCCCCCTATTAGCACATAGTGCCATCTCATAGAAAATGGAATTAAGAACTCTGGCTGAGTTAGGATGTTGTGGACTTTGTTTAGTGGTAGCTGGTCATTTTGCTGGCACAAACTAGCCTCATTCCAGGTTTTGTGCCACTAAGTTAGGTTATATAAGAAGGAGGAAGGCATCGGAGCGAATCGACTGCTGCTTGGGGTGAAAGGGCAGTGGGGCAAAATGACTGTCAAGCTAAGTCCCTGATAGTGATATGCAGCAGATATTTTTGTCATTTCTTGGTAAATATGAGGCTGCTGTAACTGCAGCCATATTCCTTATGCTCTATAAAATGGCATTGTCCATCTTCCTCTGTCTCAGTGCATCGCTCTTGATAACTTAAACAGGAACTAACATTCTCAGCAAATGAAAGAGGTAGGAGTGTGAGTTCAACCCACTCAACATTATTCCTTGACCTGTGGTTTACTAAGAGGCCCTGTGAAAAAAAAAAAAATTTTAGAGCACTATCTATCTGAGAGGCTATGTAAAAATCATGTTGGGATGAATTAAAAAAATTGTCTGTGATTAGTAGGCCTACACATTATGGGAAGTGGGTATTCAGCAACAAGTGAGAAGTCTTATGAGTCTTGAGATCTTAAAATCTTAAATTTCATCAACTTATACCTGTAAGAATCCTGGACATTTAATCCCTGACATATCCTTAAGAAACATTGCAAAGAAGATATATGATATGATAATTGCAGCATCTCGTTCAACTTTCATCCTTTACTGATAAGCAGTTAACAGACATCTCTGTTCTCTCAGATATAGATGTTTGTAGTAGCTACTGCCATTAGTTGCACAGGCACTGCCATTGCTGTATGCAGTCTGCCGTATGGATGATTGTAACAGAATCATATGTTTTGCGGTCTTCCTATGCATACGTGGGCAAGGTTTGAAGTTCCATTATCTAGCAGTCCATTAGCAAAATGAGCAGTGGCTGACATAAGTAGATTGAGCAATTTCCATTACTGTTTAGTCCTACTATACTGGAGATGATTGAAGGGGCAATGTCTTAATTTTGCCATCACTTGACATCAGTAACTTTCTCCTTGCTTTGTGTCTCATCATCTGGAGTTTCATCTTTGTCAGTTGGATCACATAGTGGATGTCCAAGAAACTAATTTGCTCTTGTAGAAACTTATGTATTAGCTCCAGTCAGAAGTCTAACTGCATCTTTGTGCTGGAGTCGATTTTCACAATTGCTGTTCCTCCAACTCCTTCTCTGCAAGATTTTGCAAGAGGAGAAGTCTAACAGAGAGGGAGAGAGAAAGTCAAAGGAGAAAAAGAGCTGTTAAGCAAGATAGTTAGGTAGCAAGCAAACCTAAGGAAAGAAAAGGTAAATAAAAAAGTAAATAAATAAAGATAGAAATACAAGTTGATTGATAGATAGAGATAGAAATAGAGCTAAATGGATAGATGATAATGATGATAATAGTAATGATTATTATATTATTATTATCATTATTATTATTAGTAGTAGTAGTAGTAGTAGTACAGTTTTATTATTATTGTTTTTTATTATTATTATTACTACTACTACTACAACTATTACTATTAGTATTAATATTTTTATTTTTATTATTATTATTATTATTATTATTATTATTATTATTATTATTATTATTATTTATTATTATTATTATTATTATTATTATTATTATTATTATTATTATTATTATTATTATTATTATTATTATTATTATTATTATTATTGTTATTATTGTTGTTATTATTGTTATTATTATTATTATTATTATTATTATTATTATTATTATTATTATTATTATTATTATTTACATTACAATTATAGTACTGAAATCACATGTAGCCTTGGTAGCCAGTTGTCTTGACCGTCCCTTGGCAAGGAATGTACACATACAGTCTGGCATTTTGACCCCCCCCCCCCACTTGACATGGTGTACATGTGTGTCTTGTTGTATTGTGCATTTATACATGCCATTTAGCATTATTTGTTGAAGTACTGATGATAATTTACTGTACATTCTGAGGTAGCAAGTCAAGAAAGACTGTCTCATGGAGAGGGGTTTGGCCTATGTTTTGGACAACAAGACAAAAGGGATAAGATCTTGTGTCTGAAGTGTACTGTGTCCAGTGTTTAAGCCCATTTGATTGCATTTCAAGCTATTGGTTATTGATAAATGTGTGACATAGGTAAAGGTAAAGGCAAAACACACATACACACTCATTCACTCCTTCACTCTTTCACTTACTCATTCACTCACTTCTTCACTCAGTCCATCACTCTTAATCAGAAAGGAAATTATGATTTGATGATGTAATTCCTAAAAAATAACTGCAGCTTTTCTCTCTCTTTCTCTCTACAACAACAAGCTACAACTTGGGTCATATGGATGTATATCTTTCCAGAGATCAGTTGTGCTACACTCTCTTCAGTGGAGGAATCATCAACCATACCAGAAACTACTGAAGAAGGTGTGTCGTTTGCATCATATGAGCACCATTCGTCAATCTTGAAGACTCTCTACGATGACTCGACATTTGCTGATGTGACGTTGACAGCCGAGGGTCATGTAATCAGGGCACATAAGGTACTATTACTGTTGCACTTCTGTTTTCTTAAATGGGTTGTGTGTGGATGGTATTAGTTCAGTAGTTTATGCCCATATCTGCTTATGTTTAAACAAAAAGACAAACTACATTTTTACAGATAAATTGAAGCACTGAAATGATAAGAATGGAATGAAAGACTATTCTATTCCTACTGTGGAAGTGTTTCATACTTATTGAGGCATATCTACACGTGTGCACATGCATGCAAATGCCCGCACACTCTCACTCTCACTCACTCACTCACATATTCACATACTCTGTAGACACTTACGCATATATAGATATGCATAAGTGTTCATATGAGTATGCATTAATGCTTAATTTTTTTGAAGGCAGTGTTGTCAGCCATGAGTCCGTACTTCAGAGAAGTGTTGCAAGCCAATCCGTGCCAGCACCCTATCATCATCATGCCTCTTGATGTGCAGTATGAGAATCTTCAGAGGATCATAAGTTACATTTATAAGTAAGTTAAAACATTGTAGGAGATCTGACCACAGTAGGATCTTTTATGTCCTGGAAAAAAAAATATGTATACACACACTCTGGAGTAATGTAACCCAGTGTTACTTTTCTTTTCCAGTGGTCAAATCACGTTACAGTCGGAGAATCTAGCATCTCTCCTAAAAACGGCAAAAGCTTTACAGATATCCGGCTTAGCCAGAGTAGATATCATAGATGTGAGAAATGAAGATGCAGAAGCTCCCTTCTTCAAGACTGTGAAAATACAGTCAAAAATGGAACATCCAAATAGGTCTGGGGTCGGTAGCAGATCCAGCACGGCCACTAACAAGAGGAAAAAGGCCAGCCATACTTCTACGGTATCAGAACCATCCATTGTCTCCAAGGAACCTTTGGATAAGAGAGAAAGAAGTGAAGATTTTGTAAAGAAGAAGAGGCCTGTGAATGATACTTTTGCTGAGAGGGAGATCACAATACCGATTCATATTCAAAACAAATCTTCAAGATTGAGAGAGAGTAGTGACAACTTGGTTTTCCAAATCATTCCAAGCAGCAACTTGAGTTCAGAAAATAATGCGTGTGAAAAACAGAAAGAGGTGAGTTAAGCTTTGAATATCTTTACATCTAAAGAATTGCTAACACATTTAGGTGATACAAAAGATATGATTTGCACATCATTATGTTGTGGCCTTTTTCCCTATTGCTAGAGAAGGACCCCCTTGAATTCAGGGGAGGGGGGGGATTTTATGAAATCAAAATTGATGGATAGACTTTTGCTTCATGTTTTCTGTTTATTGTTTATTTTCATTGCATTGTGTAAGTATTGCTGAAGGAAGAAAGTTTGCCTTATGCTATTTATCTGTTGTCAGTCAAATGCATATGAGTTATGCATATAACATGATATTTCATATAATAATTTTCTACCCATTTTACTTATTAGCTTTTTTCTGAAAGAATTAACCTTTGATTATTTTCAGTTCTTGAACTAGAAAGGTCAGGATGAAACCCATAGTCTTAAGATTTACAAAAAATAATATAGCCTTAGTCATTTACATTCTTTAAAGTAGTTAAGACTTTGAATATGTTCATCTCTAAATTGTTAGATCCCCGATGGACAAAAAAACAAACAATTTATTTAGCTTCTTTTTCTTTTTCACTGTATGTATTGCATTTAAGGTCATTCATTTGCACTGTTTTGTAATTTCTTTCATTTCAGGAACTGGAGGAACTGCAAGAATTATTTGACTCGGAGGACAACAGCCTTTTACAAGCTGAAAGACATAGTGCGCAAGAGAATTTAACAGAGATAGTTTATGTAAAAGAAGAACCTCTTTTTTAAGGAATATTTAATTATATTTTTTATGTACATTATAAATTGATAGATGGTCTATTTTTTTATTACAGGTTGACATTCAAAAAGCCGGCACTCCTCAGGTCTGGATGTTCCCAGATTTTTGAGTGTCAGCCTTTATATGAAATATGTTTGCAATATTTAGCACATAAATTTACAGTTTTCTGTAAAGTCTCTAAATGTGCTATAGAGTTTTCATTCTATATATATTTCCTGTTATATAAAATCACATTTGTTACTAATGTATTATTACCCAGAACTTCAAGGATGAATATTGATTAAAACGAATATTTAAAGATTATGGAGTACAAATGAGAAAAAGAAACCTTGGTGTCTGTACATATAAATACATACATGTTTATATATATAAGTTCTTGCACACTTACTATATGCACACACACAATATTAACCAAGAAAGGAATTGTTATAAATTAGTTTCAGATTAAGGAAGACCCCATCATGGAACGAAAGGCAATTAAGGTAGAAACAAATAGGGTAAAGAAAAATAACCACAGTGTACACGCCATTTCATACATGGGTGTGGTCACAAGGTTACCAAAAAAACAATTGTAGAAATGTTAATTAAGGAGCCTGGAAGAAGTGCTACAACTTTTGGAAAGCAATTTGTAAGTAATTTTTACAACAGGATTTGAATAGCAAAATTAATAGGGAATAGAGCACAGCCAGATTCATGGAATGCTAACTTACTGGAAGGTATGTATGTGTATTATCTTTTCCCAAATGTACCCCTCAATCCCTTGCCCGTTGTTGTCGTGAAGGGGGCTTAGGAGGTGGAGACTGATGACCAAGGAAGGGGATCACCCCTACCTTGGGCCTCAGCCCTCAACCCAACAAATTTTGCACGGTCTCCTCTTTCTTCCCCAATGCCTTCCCTGTCCAATTCCTAATGTTTGAGAGCCGCGTTGAAAGGATGAAAGGCCGACTTTGTGCCAGTCATGAATGGCCTCAGAGAGTTGTGGGCATATTATTCCCAAGGTTAATTATCTTGCCCATACCCTTCATGGGGACCCTGAGGGGTGAACATTTTACTTCCTTATGTATTTCAGGCTTACCATGGCCAGTATTGAAGATTTTGTACCCTTATTAGGGGCATGGAGGCTAGCCTCTTTATCAAATAGCTTCTCTAAATCTAACTGATATTGTTTACCAACCCCTGACTCCCCTTTGATCACGGCTCTGACCACTGCTATTACACCCCCACATCAATACTTGCTGTCAAATTAACCCACCCTGAATCACCTACCCAGGTAACTCAACGTCCAAAAGACAACCCCTATCATATATCTACATATGTACATATACTTAACACATACACACACACACACAACACACACACACACACACACACACACACACACACACACACACACACACACACACACACACACACACACACACACACACACACACACACACACACACACACACACACACACACACACACACACACACACACACACACACACACACACACACACACACACACACACACACATAAACACACACTCACTTATATGAGTGTGTGTATGAATATGTGTTTGCGAATGTGTGTTCATGTAGTCTATATGTGCCAGTGCTGTGGTAAAAAGTATGTATATGTGGTCTGACCATTCAACTCTTGCCAGATGAATGCAAGAAACATTATTTATCGGTAATATGAATATCATTAGCATTTTCTTTCACAATGAGGCTAATCAGGAAACGCTCCGAACTGAATCCACAGACGCCACCAGCAACGATTCGACCATCCATTTATGCGCTTGCGTGTGGGAGCGTATATATGTATTTAACACCTTTAGAGAAAGAGAAACGAATTGAAAGGTGGTAGAAACATAAAGAATGATATTGATTAATAAAAAGACCAATGTGTTTTACGTGAGCAAGGAACGTGGTCCTGTATTGCTTTGGCCGCCGCTCGCTGTCACCGGATTTTGGCTTTCTGTCGCGTTGAAATCTCCGAAGTCAGGATGAGGATAAGGATAAAGGGAATTTCGGTCTATTATGCAAAGGCAAATTCGCGGATTAGTCGAACATTTGTGAAGGCTCAGATTAGGAAACTTAAATCATTGAAAAGAATAGTTGCTGAAATTTATCAATAAAACCCCATGTAAACTATGGGACTGGCTTTGTTTTTAAATCTCGATGAAAGAGGCCTTCTGTATATAGTATTACAGGATGGGAAAGCTGGTTTTTATTTAGTCAGAGGAAAATATAGGAAAAAGA